AAAAAAAAAAAAAAAAACAGTTATAGTCTTTATCCTATGAAATGTACACACTGTGAACAGACATTAGTTGGACAATTCTTCCATTTTGATGATTGATTGTGTATTTGATGGTTCTGCGATTGCTTTAAGATTATCGTAGCACCTTCTTGCTCCTCGTGCGTAAATATGGTTTTTTGCCTGCAACTACACAAAAGCAAATGATAGGTCAGTCTATTTTACTTATATTTATTAAAAGACCCTTCTTCACTTTTTAACTCAATTTTTGTGTCATGTGGGTTGAAAGTATATATAGTTTTATTTAGATACCGAATTATTATCCATACAATAATTTCTCTGATGATTTTTGAAAATCTATAAAAACAAAGCAAATAACAAGCGTGAAGACGTCTAGCTAGAATTTATTTAAGAATATAGGAGTGGTTGGCCTCTCCAGATACCGATTTTTAAAACAAAGGAAGGCAAAAGACTTACTAAAAAAATGAAAATTTTCTCCACTCAACATCGAAGCGCTGTGATATTCATTGAATTAAAGCCCACTCTCTGCATGAAGGACTACATTTTTATTTGTTTCTCTTTTATTTTGCAGGTGAAACCATAGATAGTAAACCAGTTAAAAATGGAAAACTACTCGATCCTTTGCGTAGTTTTATGCTGTATAGACATTTCTTAGGAGGAAGTTTAATGATTATAGTCTACCATCTCTCATTTAATTCTGCTCAAACATTAGAAGAAACTGTTGTATTGAAGGATTTAGAGGAAAAATTGGAGACGCAAAAATTTAAAGAAATCTTTGATAAGCCACTAGAAAATACAATTGAAGTAGGTAATTATACATTTTTTTCGTAATTTATATTACTATTTGATTTAAAATAAAAAATAAAAAAACCTGACTACCTACTTGAATAAGTAAGGTTTACGAGAACCAAAAGGAGAAAAAGGTGAGGATGGTCGCCAAGAAATGCACTAGGTATACGGTGTGAAAATTAAAGAGTTTCGAATAATTGCATGTGTTTGAATCCACCATAGATTAATGTAGGTAGAGGATCATTTGCTTTGAGGTTGGAGGAGAATGACTGTATAACTTCTGATTCCTCTCCGCTAATAACAGTGACGATGGAATTCTTGCATAATCAGCTCTGCCGTATGAAAAATAAGAATTGCAAGTTTAGAAATACCAATGAATAGAATAAATTCAGAGCGTATGATGGTAATTTATTCTTCAAAAATGAAGGGCTCGTAGTGTCCTTCGAGCCCTTCATTTGTGCATCATACTGCATTTATGCGCCTTAAATGTGCACATACGTTTTTACTTAAGTGTTGATAAGATCCATCATGATTAATGGACTTTCATCATAAAAACTTACATAATACTTACATTAGTCGCTCATCATAGAGCATATCCTATACGCTTTTCAATGAATGGAAATCCTAACATTCAATATCGTTGCCTTTCGGAATTTTACATTAAATTTTTGTGAAATTCATGTTCTTTATTTACACGTTCTTGTTCGTTATCACATTAGTCTCCCAACCAATAGAATAAAAAATTTACTTTGACTTTCAAATTTTTCTCTTTCACTCTCTATTTGGGCAGTGGCAAGAAATTTTTGGAGGGTTGTATTATAATTTTATTCATCTAAAATTCCGTGAGAAAACCCAAAAATTTCACTATTGGTTGAAAAAATCGTCTTTAAGGGAGAAAATAGCTACCAAAATCCGAATGAATCAAAAGCCGACAGTCGAGTTGACGCATCAAGGCGATGTCGGAATCTGAGATCAGCCAATCAGCAAACGCAGTTTCTCTTGCCCGGCTATGTTATCACAAGAGAACCGGGAAAATGTGTTTCCCTTTTTGAGCCAAAAAAAAAAAAAAAAAAAAAAAAAAAAAAAAAAAAAAAAAAAAAAATTAAATGAAAATGCAATGATACAACTCAAGTAAGCTTCTTTGGCTTTCACCCCTTCAACATGAGGACTGGTTTAAGAGAGTGTGTGAAATCGATCATGCAACCATTCAAGCACATGTCAGCCGGTAATTTAATAGGAGTCTTTGGAAATGTTTCAGCTCCAATGGGACCATGGGAAGTATATAGTCAAGGCGGGGGATAAGGTAGACATAGAAAAAGTGTACGAGAAGCCAACAAGTGTCATTTGGGATGCAGACCTAGATTATTACTACACACTCGTGCTTTATGGTAACTAGTTTTCTGTTTAATGTTTTTATTTGTTCACGCCTCTGCCCCGTTTTCATGTATTAAAAGTTCTTAGTCACAAAATAGAATGAAAATGTGAGATGCATATTCAATTAACATCACTAAAAACACGTGGATTAATCATGATAGGTGACGCAAGTGAATACCTAAAGGTCCAGTTACACGATCAAATTGAGCCATCAAACTGAAGATCTGATTGGTGGAAAAAGACCTGAGGTGAGGATGCAACCAATGAGAGGCCCAATTTAATGGCTCAATTTGATCGTGTAACTGGACCTAAAAATAGACGATAGGGAATGGAGTAACACATTGTGTGAATAAAAAAATAAATGCTGAAAGGAGACTTACTTCTTTGACATGTCTTTCTGCGCCAGTACAACTTTAATCGCAACTTAACTTTTAATGATGTCACAGTTCACACAGCAAATATTTCGATGGTTTAATTTCTTATAAAAGATGGAAGTTAAAGATCTCCGCGTTCCCTTAAATATTTCCGTTTCAGTATAAACCTTCATGAGACCTGATCTGTGAAAATGGACCTCGTCTCCCAGGAGAGGATCTTCCTTAACGTTTTGCAAACGCATGGTGGAAGAATACAGTTTTGTGCTTTTAGGCGCAAGTTGAATCCTAAAATTTCAAAAACTGAAAGAGGTATATTAATCCTGAAGCTCTCAGACAAAAGCTGCTAGGTTGTTAGAAAACGTGTTGAAGTGTTTGCAAATAGTTAAAGAAAACTTTCTCCTGAAGACAGGGGTCCTTTTCATGGATCTGGCCTCTTGTGCAATGCGCGCGATTACGCAAATGCAACTTTCTTGCATAATCAAACACACTGGTCAAATGAAGCTTACGTAAAAACATTTCCCTTTTTTAGTATACATTTTCCGCCAATGAACTTTGAATGTTTGAGCCGGTGCACTACGGCCAAAACCCCATAGCAGAACGGAAAATAAAAAAAAGGCATTGAACTTTATCGCCATTCCTTAAAATTGACTTTGTAACCGATGGCCTTAGATGAAGTAACACTCAAAATACACGTGTATCTATAAGACACGACTCTTCTTCAATTTCAGACTACGATGCTCCATTGAGAGTTCACCCACACTTGCGTAGCTTCGTCCATTGGATGATCGGGAATATTCCAGAAAAAAACTTGACAGCAGGAACGACTTTTTACGATTATTACGGTCTCAAACTTTTCGAAAAAGGAGGTAGGTGATTTTACAGCAAATGTAAAAAATCTGTCTGCATTTGGCTTTTTGAGTCCTTAGTTATTTAAGAATAATTTTTTTATTTTCTCAGTTTTTTTCATCAATTTAAATGAGAATAATCCATGCAGAGTGTGCAAACATTTCAAAGTCAGGAATTAAAACACGCTTACTCCGCGAGTTCAAATATTAGAGCTTAACACAGAGCGGAGCGGCGCACTATGGTCCGAATAGCCGGTTTAAGCGGCATTAAATCAGATACGTTTGTTTAAACCTCGCAACATGAGTTTTCAGGGGTTTTTAGGGTCGCTGAGTGCAAAAATGCTAATATTCTTCAGGAAAAATCCATTTTTAACATTTTTATACTTTATATAACTGTGGTAATAATTTGTTTACAATAACCTTAAATTGAGTTTTAAGACTCGAGCTGAAGCAGTGGAGCAATTGGCATCGCGTCTCACTCATCTTCTTGATGTCCCGGGTTCGATTCTCGGTAGAATTTTTTTTTTTTTTATATAAGTTTAAAAATTAATTTTACATTGGATGGACTATAAGAA